CGTCTCGCGGCACACTAGTGTGCCGCGGAACACCGGTTGGGAAACACTGATCTAGGGCACAATGATTCCTGACTGCAAGTATGACAAGTTAAAAGGTATTAAGAGACAATGTAGACTACTTACACTGGATATTTCACATTAGATATAATTTGCCTGCTAATATTGCCCTCTGTTCAGTTTGGAAAATTTACTTTCAATTTTTATCAAGTATTTTTCAGTTCCTTAGAGCAGGTGTAGTCAATGTGGTGCCCTCCATTTGCTGCTGGATTGCCACCCCTGATCATTCACCATGTTTTCTGGGGCTGATGAGAGCTGGAGTCCAATAGCACGTGGGTGGCATCAAGTTGGCTACTCATGTACATGTTGTCTAACAGTGCAATCCTGTGTACACCTACTTAGAAGTTAAGCCTCACTTAATGCAGTAGGATTTCCTCAAAGTTAGGGATCAGGGAGAAATTCAAATCAGTTCACGTTTAAAGCTGAATTTATCAAATTCCCACTTTCCAAAGCAATACAAGAACTAAAACATAACCATCTTTCAAAATTTGCACTTATCTAAATTTTGCAATCCAGTTCTCCATTCCCCCATGCAATATTAGGAGAAATTGTGCACAGAAATGAATATATTAGTTAAAATAACATATATTTGGAGAAATTGATGGCAAAAATGTGTACATTAGTCAAAACTGCATACAAAAACGTGTTTATTTAGGATAAATTCACACTAAAAACCTGAAGAATTTGCATGAGGAGTTTAAAAAAGAAAGTTCGCAAATTGCTGCAGAAATGTACAGAACTGAATTTAAGGTTCGAAAAATGATAAACTGAAATTGACAGATCCTTCCATTGCTACTCTCAGCTAACTGTGCCTAGGATTGCAGCCTAAGTGGGCCATCACTACAGAATGTGCCAAGTGCTAGTCAAACTACAAATTGACAACACCATGTTTAATATTATTATTATTATTATTATTATTTGCTCCAAGGCGACATAAAAGCTTAGTTGTGTATGTAGTTCTCCGCACAACCTGCCAGGAAAAATATAGGAGGAACACAGCCTGCAAGTAAACACCTGCCACTTTAGATGACACCTGAAATTAAACTGGTGATCTCTAGTGTGAGGCATGATTTGCTCTATTTAGAGTTTAAACGCCTACCTCTCTCCACCTGAGGCTGTAACCTCATCTGGACTGGACACAGAGGTGGAAGCCTAACATGATTGACCATACGTTACAACAACAACAGCAGCAGGGCAAGCCACTAAATTTACAAGAAGCTTTGAAGTTCTTCACATTCGCAGAGAGCAACTGACCTTCAAGTGACAGGTTTTTTTACATGGTTAAGTTTCCTGAGACAAATATGTTAGGCATTCATACTCTTTAAGAGCTTTTTTCAGACAAGTGGAAGTCTTCTACATGACAGGTTTTATCCGGATAGAGGAAGAAATGACAAGAGCTAGATAAAAGAAGATAAAAGGCAGAGCAGTAAGCCATGAACCTTCTGGCTCTTTCACCATCACCACTAATCTAGTGCATGCTTGAATAACAGAGTAAACAGGGGGCAGAAATTGACAGATATGATCCTCTACCAAACTCCATTTTGAAGTTATCTTTTTAGAAAACCTGGAAGTGCTGATACCCCACTTGATGCCTAGAAAGGTATAGGGATGCACCATTTGGCCCCATCTACATCCAAGGACCCTATATCTCCCCACCCTGCAAGGACCTTTCTACGTCTCCCTTTGTAAGAAGGGCAATCTGGTCTCCAGATCTACACTGCTTCACTTATTCTGGCTGCCTATCAAGATCCACTAATGTTTAGGGCTTGAATTACAGGGGAGCTAGAGATGGATGGGCCCTCTTACATTTTGTGGTTGCTCCTTTATAGGCTGCTTATAGCCTGTGTTTGCATAGGGCATTCATGCATATGCGAGCTACTGTTTCCATCTGCGCATGCATTTGTGCACCTTCTTCTACACACAAGCTCTTTAAATTTCGTGTCTCCGAAATCTATCTCAGTGGCTCCCATCCAGTGCTTGATGAGATATATTTGTGCAGTGAGTATACACTTAATAACTGGCACTACTGACCCCGGTGCAAATAATAATAATAATAATAATAATAATAATAATAATAATAATAATAATGGAATACCCCACCCATCTGGCTTTGTTTTCCCGGCCACTCTGGGCAGCTTCTAGCAAATTATAACAACATAATAAAACATTAAACATTATAGGTCTGCCTTCAGATGTCTTCTAAAAGTTGTGTAGTTCTTTATCTCTTTGACATCTGATGGGAGGGCATTACACAAGGTGGGTGCCACTGCCGAGAAGGCCCTCTGCCTGGTTCCCTATAACTTCACTTTTTGCGGTGAGGGAACTGCCAGAAGACCTTTGGAGGTGGACCTCAGTGTTCGGGCTGAATGATGGGGGTGGAGCCCGCCCCAAATAATCAATTATATTGATTATTTCACCATTTCAATTTGTGTGTGTGTGTGTGTACAGGATACAAAAACTGACCTATTAATTTGAACTACCTCCATTAAAAGAAATAACACATGGTAGTTCTTCGGAAAACACAATCCAAGATCCTGCTGCAAACAGCACTGGATGCAGTGGGGGTGTTCTGCCCCATTGTCCCTGCATCAGTAGCTAGTCTCTCCTCCTGAATTACTCTTCAGCGCTCTTGCAGGATGCCCACCACAACATTACAAGCAATACTCAAAGGCTCTCTCAAGGCAGGTTTCTACCAGTCCCTCAAATCCTATCCTGAAGGTTGCCAGACAAGCGTTTGACCTAAGCCTTGCAGACTAAGGTGCCAACCATGAGTTGTACCAAAGAGACTTTTCCTTGGGTTGCCTGGCAAATGGAATGGAAGTGTGCAAGTCTATTTTATTTGCCTCTTCTAGATACAAGCCTCTGCTGCCAGACAATGTGTTTGGGGCTATCTAAAACAAGAGAACACATACTGTATAGAAACTGTGTGTGTCTTTTTAAACAAAATTAAATGTAGAAACTGTTAAGCTGTTTTTAATGGCAGAACTTAGCCAGGAAAGGGCGAATTTATCAAATGCCTCTACTGAACATGCCAAGTAGAGGAGTAGCAACCAAGGCAGAAGGCAGATTCCAGACAATCCTGAATCCCAGCCAGTGCCATATCTCAAATTAAGCTCTGTCGATGATTTAGAAAATTACATCTTACAACTGGGTAGAAATCCTACAGAGAATGCAAGATTTAATTCATAACTTAATTATAGCTGAATTAGCCATTGACATGAACGTCAACTATCTAGGACATGTCTACACACGTATTTCCTTTGCTGTCACAGTTTTAAATCAGTGTCCAAATAAACGAGGCATCCTGTTGCATCAATTCAAGCTGCCATACTACCTACCTACCCAGAGCTTTGTACAGTTTAGCTTTCTTACGCTGTGTTCACCTATATGTCCGAATATAAAACAAATCCCTACGATGTCACCCAACCCAATCCAAGCCTCAGTTCTCTATGTGATAAACAGACAAAGGAAAAACACGTTTGTGTCTATTTATTACTAAGTGTTAAGTGGTGACTGGCAAACGTGTGAGATGGATCATAAATCAAGCCACAGTCTGAACGCTTATCACCTGGTAAATATGTACAGTGCTTATGATGGAGCCAATTTGCAATGAAGAACTATCCAGTGAAAAGTTACTGATTTATGTACATAACATGTGGCAACAGACTGAACCAAACTTAGCATATAATGGACTTTTACACGCCATCCCACTACAAGCTTGGAGCACCACTGTTACAGTCATCAAACCACCTAAACCATCTTGTTGCAGCCTCTTTGGGGGAGAGCACCACATCCCATTTCATTGCTGTGACAAATCAAAACCACTCTGTACTAACCAATTTGGACTACCTTTTGAACTACACAAATAGCCAGACAGGGCTGTGGCCCCCAAACGAGTTAAATATAAACATGAACAAAAATTGCCACGACAACCAATTCCCACAAACACTGGCAAAACCAGCATGAGAGTGCTGTGGCTTAGTTCTGAGAAGTTACTTCTGTACAAAGAACACAAACGTCAAGTCAGACAAGTGGCAGAGTAGTCCGCAGAAAACCTGTCTGAGGATTGGAATGCTTTTGCAGAACATCTGAAGAGCCATTAGAATTGCACAAAAATGTGAGCAGCATTTGAAATATCTGCAACAGTAGAGAGGCATTAAGGCCAATAACCCAGGATATATATGTGTTTGTGTGTCTTTATGTATATATGTGTGTGTGTACACACACATAGAAGTGTGTGCACACACCTACACACACACACACACACACATATATATACATATATATATATATATATATATATATATATATATATACACACACACTCACACATATATGGAGTGTTAAAATACACAGCATTAAAGGATAAACATAGAGAGGTTGACCATATTTCAAACAGTGAAAATCCGGACAGAAAAGTTGGCAAATTGTTGAGCTTTGGAGAGGGGGGGGGCTTTTCTTAGTTTTGCCCAGAGTCATTGACCTGCTTCCTTTTATGGGGGGTGGGGGGCAGAGTTGTTGAGCTCTTTTTACTTAAGTTTTACGCAAAGCTGTTGCAAAATCGCAAAAAAGAGCTACCTAACATACACCACCATGCAGGGTGTGTGTGTTTAATGGTTGACCATGATTCATCCAAGCTATTGCTAATGGCAAAGTATTTGCATATGGTGTTTTTTTTTAAAAAAAACAACTTTTCCATAAAGCCCCCCCCCAAAGGTTTCTCTCTCCCCCACCCTCCCAAAAAGAAAGCGCACATCCCCTTGTGACAGGGTGGCCATGTGTCCTCCCCCCCCCGCCCCATGTCCCCCCTTTCCCCTCCAGGGGTCCAACTTGGAGAGACTTATTTTGATCGGCCGTCCGAAGCGTCCTCTGGAAAAAGATGGCCAGCCTGGCGACGGGAACAGGTGGCTGCAGCTACGTGGTGGTGAGGAAAGGCTACTTACTGGGTCAAGGCAGCTTTTTCCTTTTTAGCGGCGGCCGCCCCGTCGTGCTGGAGGTCAGTCATGAGGAGGAGCACCATTCGGAAAGGGGAAGCCGAATTCCCGTTTCCCCCCTTTTCCCCTCACGGCCAACCTACTCCTGGCGGGGGCTAGAAACTTTCGCCCCCTTCCCCTCCTCCCTGATTCCTGTCACCTCACGACGCTCCGCATCCTCCGAGGAAGAAAAGAAAGACGGAGAGAAAGAGAGAGGAGGAGGAGGAGGAAAAGTTTCGCAGCCCCGCCCCCCCCCCACCGCCCCGCGCGCGCCTCAGCCTCGCTAACCTGAGCGAGTTTCGACCGGTCTCCGTTCGCGACCGAGGAGGAGAAAAGGAGGGAAAGCCCCGCCGAAGGCCCGTCCCATTCTCAACCCGCAGAGCGAGTCCCGGCGAGGCTGGAGGGAAAGAGGAGGAGGAGGAAGAAGAAGAAGAAGAAAGGAAACCGGCCCGACGAGCTCCTCTGAGAGGGAGCCGGTGGCCCAAAACGTGCCCGGGAAGAGGGCGGCAGCGCGGGGCATGTCGGGTATTCACCGCACGAGAACATTCCAGAAGGCGGCGGGGTTTTTTTGGGGGGGGGCGAGCTGTCCCCGTTGGTTGGGCAAAGGCCTCGTGAGGGGAAGGGCCTTCGTTCGGATTTTCCCGCCTTTTTTTTGAGGAGGGGGATGGCGCTTTTGAGGGGGAAAGAAAAGAAAAATGCTCAACAAGTTCTTGGGGGTGGGTCTAAAAATAAATAAATAAACCTCGAAAGCTTTCGGGGTTTCCCAGAAAGAAACTAAAGCACAACCATTTGGGGGGCGTTTCCAGAAAACAAACAAACACCACAACTCAACCATGTTGGGGGGCTTCCCAAAAAAAAAAAAAAACCCTCAACAACTTTTGGGGTGTCCTGGTTTTTTCTTTTTGAAATACAGCAACCCTAGCTGCTTATTTCATTCCGTTTAGGGTTGCCGTTTTTCAAAATGTAAAGTTCCAGACACCTGCAAAATTTCGTTTTTTAAGGGTACCAACAAAGTTGATGACCCCCCCTTTTTTTAAAGGAAAGCACAACCAAAATTGGGTACAAACCCAAACCTCCTGCCAAAATGGTGATTTTCAACTTCTGGGTTTCCCCCCCTGACACCATGTTTTCACATGAAAACCAGGAATTGCCTGACATGTGGCAAGCCTAGTTCCATTCCTGGATTGCTTCTGGTGAAACACCTCAAAGCACTTCCACAATACTGTATAAGCATGAGGATGTACTCTCCAGTTGCTCCAGCCGCTCTGGGCAGTTTCCAACATAATTAATAACACAATAAAACATTTAAAGCAACCTCCCCGTACAGGGCTGCCTTCAGATGGCATGGAGGTGGGATAACTCCATCCCTCCAACATTTCTCAGAAGAAAATAGGGATTTTTGGAATTTTAATTTGGACAAAGATGGGAAGTATTACTAAAGACACTTGCTTGTTGTCCAAAATTAATGTTACTGAATATTTCGGATGATGCCAATGCAGATACATTGTCAAAAGAATTTGTCTTATATATGATATTGGCAGCACAAATAGTAATTGCGACTCAGTGGAAAACAGCCCAAAATCTTGTACTGGATGCTTGATAGCACTCTGGGATATAGCCATAACAGAGAAAATCACACATTATTTGAGATTTCAATAAGACACTTTTTATATGATTGGGCATTCTTTTGTGACATATAAAGAGGAGCCGCCATTTTCAACCCTCATGGCAATTCTGCCAAATCTGAAGCCATACTTGATGATCTGATAACACTGATAGTCTTCACGTGGAGTCTGTTATTTTAACTCACATGCAACTCATGCCTATTTTACAGTTTTTCATCTTTGGATATTCATTTGTTGTTAACAGTTGATTTAAAAAACCTTTATCAAAATACAAAACAAAAACCCTTTACCGAAACCCACAAACAGGCATTTAAAAACATGGTATGTCATGGGAAGATGTTCCAAAATGTAAGCTCAGTTTCTCCATTCTACAGAGTGGACCATTTGAAAAGATGCTATCTTCAGGAGACCGTCTCCTGTGGAGTAGAGTAACCCCTTGGATATATAAGGCGTAAGATGATCTTCTCGATATCCTTGTCCAAAGCTGTATAGGGCTTTGTATACCACCAGCACCTTGAACTTAGCTAAACTGGTAGACAGTGCTCACATCCAACTTGGCTTGAATGACACAATGTCAACAGAAGCATGTGTATTGATGTTGCTCTCAGGTTAAGTGTCATTAGCCTGGTTTCATTATAAGTCCATTTCTCCCCTGCATTTTGCCTCTCTTAACAACTGCTGGAGAACCAAACGCTTTTTAAACAGGTGAATTTCTCCTTTTAAAAAATCATCTCTATGCCAGAAAAAGCTTGACTCACTAACTGCTTGTGCACCAGGAAGCTTTTAAGAGCCCTATCAGAAATCAAAATACGGGCCCTTGTGTCTTTTCTTAAGGAATCCACAAGGTTGCATGTTCTGGTTCCCAGCCCCACTCCACTCCTTGATGAATGTCATATCTGATCATGCTACTGTTTCCTGGATTACATTACCTTCAGTTGCTTCAATAACACCAGGTTGCATAGCTTCCACAACACCAGTTTGAGGATGCTTGAGGAATTCATATATTGCAAATTGAGCTGACCCAGTCCCCAACCTCCTCAGCTAATATATGAACTGAAAAATAGTTATCCATCAGACTTTTTCTGAATACAGGTGACTCTCGACATGCTGAGGTTATGTTCCGGGGATAGTGCCTAAAGCCAAAACCAGGTATTGTCAAAACACATTGGGTTCAATGGTGGGTGGGATTGCTAAAGTTTTTTTTTCTGTTTTGATTTTCTTCCCCTTTTTTGCCAAGCCTGTAAAGCTGAATGTGCACAAGTTAAATGCGCTTAAGTTGCGGGTTACTTCTACTGCACTAGTTCTTCGCCCAAAACATTATGAAAACAACTTTTAAAATGTCTGTTTTGGGATAAAATATATTCTGAAATATGTAAAAATTTGTTTGGAAAGTCATATTTGATACATATGTAAATACAAATTATTGTTAATATTTTATTTATTAAAATATTTATAGACCACTATTTCATAAAAAGTGTCTTACGACAAGAATACTTAAAACCACATTGTAAAACCATATTAAAAAGTTAAAAACAGACATTGATTAACCATTGTGGAGAGATTTATTCTTTATTGCCTGGATAAGCTTGGCGGAATAGAAAATTTTTCAGCAGATGTTTAAAAGCTAAAGCAATTTAAAAATTTGCAGACAAATGTGGGCATAGAATGGAATGGACTTATGGCTGAACACATGTGAAAGTGTGAGTAACGATGACAAAATTATGCTCCGTGACATGTCCATTGAATGAGACGTGCTCCCAGGAAGGTGACTATAGGACTGCAGCCTTAGACACTGTGATTGTATTAATCTTTGGTAAAACCTGGCAAATCATTTTAATCTTGAGATTGTGCCAGCAGCGACAAACAGGAAGCAGAATCCCCAGTACTCTATTTGCATTACAGTGGTACCTTGGGTTACAGATGCTTCAGGTTACAGACGCTTCAGGTTACAGACTCCGCTAGCCCAGAAATAGTACCTCGGGTTAAGAACTTTGCTTCAGGATGAGAACATAAATTGCACGGTGGCTGCGCGGTGGCAGCGGGAGGCCCCATTAGCTAAAGTGGTACCTCAGGTTAAGAACAGTTTCAGGTTAAGAACGGACCTCCAGAACAAATTAAGTTCTTAACCCAAGGTAGAACTGTATTGTATCATCAAGTTAACTGACTTTGTTCACTGAATTAATGAAGCACTGACATGCTGAAAAGAATTTTCCAGCAATTTCTCCTCATCCCATACACACAGGGGGAAAAGAACCATAAATATATCAGAAATTAAATTGTTATGACAAAAGGGAAAAAAAATTCTATGTAAAATTGCAAAGAAACATTCTTTGCTCTCCGATGCCATCTGGTTTTGTATGTTTATAACACATTCAAAGTGCTGGGGTTTTTTGATTTTTTTTTTACTGATGTAGCTGAGCCCCTAGTCTGTTTTATTAAAGATTAAACAATTTGGGAACGCTCCCACATCCAAAAATAAGGGTTAAGAGGATTGCCAACTTTTCAACAATATTTCATTTATTTATTTCTAAAGCTGGCATCTTACTGACTGACTCAAGAGGTTCCCATGATGTACTGGTATTAACATACAGTATTAAAATGGTATTGAATTAATGTAAAAATAAAAATAAATTTGAAGGAACCAGCACCCAAATCCAGCTGGCAGGTGAATATACTGTTGCTTGTGAATGACTCATTAAACACTTGAAGTTCCTTAAAACATTTATGTAACTTCATTGAATCCATTGCAGAGTCACGCATATCCTAATGTGCAATTTCCTGTGGCTCGTTTTTCTTGTTCTCCTTGTATGTGGCTTATAATGTGTCAGAACATACTCTTACATATTCCTGTTACATTTGTTTGTTTGTTTGTTTGTTTGTTTGTTTGTTTGTTTATCTTTAGTCCCTGTCTTGCAATAAAATTTATTTCCCCTACATACATTGAGCAACTACAGTATAATAACGGTATTTCACTTAGCATGCATAAGTTTCCAAAATACTTTTTTTGTTCTATGGTTGCAATGGACAGGAGAAATGTTCATTCTTCTCCACCATCCGGCCTTTCGGATTGTGATGTCACATTGTTATTCTCCTCCTTCACAAATTGTTATTTGATGACAGTAAAACGAGAGCCATCTCTGGAGGGGACAGGGTCTCCTTGTTCTGTGATAATACATTCCTCAAGTTCTGCTGCTCTCAGCTGGGTTTATGCTGAAGGACTTAAAACAACTTTGCTTCATTCTGCTTTGCTTTATTCTGCTTCGCTGTATAGTTGCAATTCTATACACTTGGGGGTGTTATTGTTTTCATTTTCATTTTGATTATGTATTTTGTGGTTTTATATTTTGATTTTGTTCTGTGAACCGTCCTGAGACCTCCAGGTATAGGGCGGTTTATAAATTCTAATTCTAATAATAATAATAATAATAATAATAATAATAATAATACACAGCTCTTAAGCACTCCTCGTGCATTCAGCTGAATGTGTGAAACAGCACGTCAGCATGTGGGAACCATCAGCCTTCACCCTCAATAACGCTCTTGAATGCCCTTCCCTGCTGATGCTAATTGGTGCATAGAGTTTCCAACAAGGGGATGGGAACCTTCAACAATGAGGAAACCCTGTGTGC